CATATGTTGCTTGGTGAGTTTCTCATCTCCCACGTTGTTGGGTACGTCTTGCCCCCCCCCCCCCATTAGCGCCATTAATGCTCAGGAAAGTAAAATATCTCAATCTTTAATAATGATAAAGGGATAGAGTACTTAGCTTTATGCTGGCGAAGCGGCGCGAAGAGTTGTTAAAATAAGAGTGTTGCGCCTAAGGATCACAAGGCGCGTATGTAGCCTAATGATAATGTTGATTGTCTTGAGGAGTAATGGCGCAGGTTCAAGTATTGGCGGCGACGATAATACTTTTTGATGAGCTCAGTGCTCATTCGGCTTGGCGGGACTGCATCGTATGTACGGAGCGGGATGGCGGAGTGATGTTGGGCCGCGAGTTGGACAGGCGGTGAGGTGGACCGGGATCTACTCGCGGAATTGTGATGGAGCGGGCCTTCGCTTTGGTGGAGGCTTGGCGGGTTGTCGGGAGTGGGCTTGGGGACGCGAGTTGGATGAGGGCCCATGTTCCGGGTTGCTGTTGAGGCAAGTCAGAGTGAATAGATAGGGCGCGCTGCGGTTTAGTAGTAAAAACACGCTTTAGTCTGCTGGTTAACATGCACATCTGGTAGAGGAATGGCGCGGCTTCAAGTCCTGACGATGGCAAATATAATTTTTTTATATGACTGTTGAAACTTGAAATTGGGGCATAGTGGGCCCGACGCAGTTCAGTGCGCGACTGGTGATGAGGCAGCGGGCAGGGCAGGTGGTGCCAGTGGCACGAGCATTGGGCCGCGGGTTGATGGTGGCACGAATCGGGGTGTCGGTCCGGTCTGGACCGCGCGTTGTGGCGAGCTCAGGACTTGGAGTTGCGGGTAGGCTTACGTGAAAGGCCGCATGGTGTCAAGTGGGCCGAGCGTTGGAGGATTGGTGGCCCGCGAATGGTGGATTGCCCATCTTCGGTGATTGGGCCGCGAGATGGAGAAGCAGAGCGAGCAGAAATTAAAATAAACTTTCCGCGCTTTATTGACAACAGTTGTCACGTAGTCCATTGGTTCTGTTGCTTGCACGCGAATGGTCGAACAGCGGTTCGAATCTCGTCTCCCACGCATGATTTTTGGGGTGCGTCGCGCTCTACAACATCACTGGGCGGGCAGGGTGCACCTTGTGGGCGTCGATTTGAAAGATTGTGGTGCGGATAGGCCTAATGGCGTGGACGGTGACGGGCTTTGACGCTTAGAAGCGGGCCGAGTTGCTGGCGGGTGCATGGATGACGTAGGCGGGCCTGTATGCGCCAGTACGGCGGATGAGACCTCTTCTCATCTTTTTTTTGTCTTTTTTTTTACGGTCTTTAGACACGTTTTTCTATTTCTTCCTTCTTCATCTTCTTCCTTTTTTTTTTTTTACGCGGAGAGAGCTGGGAGTATTTCCTTCTTCTTCTTCTTTTTTCCACCTATATTTCTTGTAGAGGCCGCGAGTCTGTGTCAGGCCCACCTTGCCGCGCGTTTGTGAACGGGACGCGAGCCCATGTAACATGAGGGGTTATCGAGCGGGCTTGGATTTGCTGCGGGCTTGGAGTCGAGCTTATGTACCGCGGAGTTCAAGCACACATTTGTGGCGCGACAAGGTCTACCGGCTAAGGCGTGCAGCAACCTAGTTTGAGTTGGAGAAGCGTATCTTGTGCGCGGAATCATCCTTTTACGCACTCTTTTCTCCAATCTTTTTTAGGCGCTCCTTCCCATCGCTGCCCCTTTTTTTTAGAAGCCGCTTCTATAACACCCTAGCTCGGTCGAGCATTACTTTTACCAAAATACCCTTGACTAATCAAATAACCAAAATGGAAAGAACATCTAAAGTACCCTTTCAAAATCATCGTAAGAAATATCTCTTAATAAATCATAAATGAGCATCAGTCTCAAGCCTACTAATAAAAGTACATAAGTGAAGGAGTTCACTTGGGATCTTCTGCAATCACTAACCCTTGTGAAGATGACATATCGAGCAGCAGCTTATTCCTGACAAGTGATCTGATTGCTCCCACTTCCTTGCAGCTCCTGAGTGCGGGCTTGGGGTCAGTCCTAATCCTATAATCATCCTCAAACACACGTAGAGCCATGCACATGTGGTGGTCGTATAAGTAAAATGCACAGTTTATTAGGGAGGGGTTTCGTTATTACTTGCTTACATGTTTTATCTTATAATGGGGCGGCCCCGCCCTCCACTTAGCTAGCGCAACCGTCCGGTAAACATGTCATAACATATCTTTACATGACTACCTTCACAATGGGGAGCTTTAACGTGTAAACTGTGCTTATCTAAGGCAAAACACCCACACAATGGGGATCCTGCGCCTATCTAAGGCGAAACACCCACACAATGGGGATCATGTACCACGTGCGTGCTAGCTAAGCGAGGATTAAACATGTTATTGCTTGTTCTTACTTATTATCTGGGTGATTTATCCTTGCTCGGTCGAATCAATCTCTCACACCATGGAGAGCTGTTATTCAACATATACTTGCTTACTTGCTTGACAACCTAAGCTTGTCAAGGATGATCTCCTCCAACAGAAGGAGATCTAAACTTATAATTTCCGTACTAATATGATTTCTCCATAGGCAAATTGATGCTATGCGTACACATGAACTTAAGAATGCACATAATCATCAAATCATTAATGCAGAGCTAGCACTCAATTAATTCAAGAAAAATGCACAATTCAACACGTAATAGGTAACTGAGGATGAAATACTAACTAGCCCATTTAACCAACGCACCTTATTAACTCAAGAAAGTTGACTTGATCTAGCCACCAACTCAAAGGATCGGTGCTCTAGGATGGGTAAGTTGCCTTGGTGAACCTATGACAAAAATAGAGATAAGATCGGTTGGGTTTTGGGTTATTTGCAGTGGCTCCCTCGATTTGCTAATTTTCTTTTGATTTAAATCACATAATATTTTACCCGGCACAAACAGTATTTTAGTAACTAATAACTTGATCATATTAACATATTAACTTACTTTAAAAATCATTTTATCAACTTCATTCATCATATCATTACTATATCTCTAATTCACTCGTTAACTCATTTAATCAATAATATCATAACCCAAGGACTAATAAAATTACCTCTGCTTATCGTAATTAACTAAATTTACCAACAACGTGTTTAGCCGATTACATACATAATTATCACCTAATTATTAACCAAGAGAATTAAACCGTAAAAGCTACAGCCCCTATAGTGACAGTCAATAATCTAGTCACTAAAGTTACCGTTCCAAAAGACTGACAGGGCTCCTGAATCCTCATGGGCCAAACCTTTCGCAACGCTATCATTTCCAGTGGCTAAAGACTGTATTTTCGTCGCAAATTTTCAGATTGCAACAAACTCATATTTAACCATGTGAACATCGATTTTAGAGCAAGGGATCGGGTTTCCTTACCACAATCACGAGTTTAGAGAATAATTTGAGGATTCCCGGACGTTGTTTCTCCGCCTTCGATCGTCATTCGATCCCCGCAATCCCACCGGCAAAACTTCGCTTCATGAACACGGGATGGATTAGTTTAGCGATTGACTGATCTCGGGACTGGGAGGGTTATATGATCCTTACCTATGGACGAGAGAGGAAGATCCAGAGCTACTGTGCCCGCCGAACAGAGGACACAACATACGGAGGAAACTGGTGCATGTTTGGCGTTAGTGTCGCTGCCGGCTTGCGTCTTTGCCGGCTGTCGTTTCCGTTGGGGAGCTCGCTTGCTACTGGGGGAAGAGGGAGGAAAGACGACGTTGCCGCTTTGGGATTTATTAGTTTAGGGTTCTAGTTCCTACGGTTTGGCCACTAGGTTTAGTTTTTATATAAATATATCCACATGCATTGAGAGAGAGAAATCCCCACCTGTTGCCGCACTAGTTTAGGATTGGATAGAGTTAGTTAATTAATTAATTAATCATAATAACTAAATGAGGGTAAATTTCGAAATTCATGAAAATTATAGGTACCGGGTGTGACATTCTTGTAACATCCCGAATCTTTTCCCGACAAGATTTTGTCCGCTTTGGGCCTCTACACCCGCACGGATTTCGACTTGGGGTGCAATTCAAGTTGACTTCCCATAAGATCACCCATCCTTGTTGTACTCCACATTGAGCACGTTTAGCTTCAGATTTCTCACAAGAACTCCTCCATTACACCCCAAAAAGCGTCTTGTCAGTTAAGGTCGGTTTCTTACTTATGAACCATGGATCTCTCTCGTGCTTTGTCGATATGGGATTCGCCTAAGGTGTTACAACTTCTCTTTCCAGGTTAAAGAGCGCTCTTCTTTCTCGGCGCTGACAGAGGTGATTTGTTCGGGTGGCGACCTGTGGCGCGACAAGCTGTATTGGCGGGGCATCGACGAAGGCGATCGGTTGTTTGTTGCGCGACGACCAGTGACTCTCTTCGTTTGCCTCGTCGAAATCTGTTTGTTGACTGCCTTGGGCCTCTTTCTCTGCAGTCGTTACTGTCGTCGAGCGATGATTTTGCGACCGAGCAGGAGTCGCAGTCGGGGAAGAGAATGAATTAGCGCCGGCGGCACCGTGATGAGGAATGGGCGCAAGATTGAAATTTGGAACGGCTCTTGGCTCCAACTTTTCTCTATTTTTGGAAGTTTCTGACTCTTTCCTCTTCACGTGCCGATCTGTTGTAGGAAGCAAATATTGGATCAATTTGTTGTTGTTGTCGGTGGTAGGTGCGGAGGAGAAGCTTTTCTTTTCTTCATCTACGACTAACTTGTTTTTTTCAATCTTTTCTTTTTTGATGAACCTTCTGCATCTTTCATTTATATAGATTTCCTCCTCTATTAGAAACCAGATGAACAGAATGTATAAGTCAAGCTCCATTGTGGGCGCCAATTATTTGTACCATCTAGCTCAAAGTATTGAAGAAGAAGAAGAAGAAGAAACAGCTGGCTATCAGTCTATCACCACTGTGCCCGTCCAACGAAACTTAGAGTTCCAAGAAGACAACTGCAGCTACTAGACAACCAACGTGACAAAAAAAATATATTATTGCAACAACGTGACAATTTTGAGAGACTTGAGAAATCTTTCTAGTAAAATATCATACTCCAAAACAGAACACCAGTACCAGTCGCACAACACAGTTGTCCAATTATCCATAGTGCAATACTTGTTGGATCCATACACCGCCAGGACAAATCTAATGGAGGAGAAATATTTACATGTGAACATTTCGCATTGAGAGGGGCCATGGATTACACAACATCACTACAGCTAGCACACATCTGAAGCTGCCAAAACTTATACTAGTAGTAATATCCAGAAAATATGGCAGGCCTACAAAAAGATCAGGACAAGAGAAAAACTCCCTTATTTCTCCTTTTTCTTTTCTTTATTCATTCTGTCCTTTTTTTAATCATAAAGCTCATGGTCTATTATATTCACATATGACTGACCACAAACCTCAGCTGCATAAGAGAATTTACAGATGAAGACCCCCCGCGATCCAAATGCCATCGATGACCCACCAGAAGCAAAGTTTGCCAGACGAAGAATTTACAACGATGTCCAGCAGTGATCTATCCCAGCATATGATCAGGCTGTATGAGTGAGATTTACAGCCCTGTTAAACCTCTCCAGAATGCTATTTGCCTTTCTCTTGGCCCTCGAAGTTCCATCCTTGGCAAGTTTAGAGATCGTCCCATATGAACTCTCCTCATCCTTCACCTCTTTCCACTTGGTTCGATCGTACAAACAGATTGTATGAAGGATGGCAATGCAGTTCTCCTTGCTACGTTCACATGCGCTCTCCCTTATAATTTGCAGCAGACAAGGAACTCCGCCCTGTTCCTCCATATCAATGATAGCCCCTTGGTGACTACAAAGCATAGCAAGTACAGCCAACAGCTCATTCACCAAAACCCCTTCCCTTATCTTATTCAGGATCACCCTCACAGCACCATCCTTTACCGCTCGAGCCTTGTTCTCATGCACAAGGCACATGTTGAAAATTGCCGAGGCGACATCCTTCATAGCCAGAGGATTCCCTTCTTCCAAAAGGTCGAGAAGCGGTTTCAAGGCACCGGATTTCACAATAAGCACCTTGTTGCAATCAAGTGCAGACAATGTGAAAAGGGTTGCAGCAGCATTAGCCCTAGTTGCAATGGTGACAGCCCTGAGTGCTTCCATAAGAAGAGGGATCACCATTGGAGTCTCAGCTACACGCTTCTTGTTATTATCGTGTATCGATAGGTTGAGGAGGGTGGTGATCACATCTTCTTGAAGTTCCGGATGGACCGTGGTTCCAGACTTGTTGCCGGATAGTGGACTGAGCAATTGAGGGATAGCATCGTCGGACTCCCCAAAAAGTGCTCGGAAAGAAGGGGTTCTTTTAGTCAGTTGACGAAGCTCCTTAGCAGCTTCTCGCTGCTCCGGAAATGCCAAAGACAACTTCTCGAGTAAAGATAGAAACCAGTCGTGATCTGAAGATGTTATTCCAGCCTCGTCCATGTAATGAATTGGGTCAGGAAACTCAAGGCCCTGATTCTTGCACCAGTGTGATATAATTTCCCGGATTAAGTGGTTTGGCGTCAGGTCTGTGTGGGAGAGGACTTGTTGGGTTAGAGGGCAAGTTCGATTGCCTGCTTCGAGCCATTTATTAATGAATGGTCTATCATAAGTCTGCATAACAAAATATTGGTTCAAGTGCATAAGAAAGAAGAGTACCAATTAGAAAAATGAGTGATCAAAGTACTGCTCTACTACTTGGCATGACCAGACCATATTTCCCAGCAAGAAAGTAACTACTCTGCTACTGGTAATATTAATCTTCCAGGCAAAGGCTGCAGTAACTTTTTTTCACAGAAGTAATATCATAAACAGCGAAGGAGAAGAGATAATGGCAATAAATGGGACTCTAAAACTGATAAATTTAAACCCGTCACAGAAAATTTCCCCTGCTTTTCAGAATCTCATAAAATGTACAGGCACTCAGAAACTTTAACTCCACCAACCCGCCAGATTTCAGAATCAGGGAAGGTTAATGGTGTAATAAATATTTGACCCAAAAAAGCAGATTAGGCTCAGCCTAAACAAAATCCCCCTTCTGAAATGGTCAACCCAAACGTTGCAGCGTCCCGTCAACGGATAACAAACAACCAGCCTCGCCGGAGGAAAACGTAACCAAGGAATCCAAATTATCTGTCACTCGGGTACGGCGGTTCCGATTACTTGCTCCATTTTCTCAGAACCCAAAACTTTCCCCAGAAAAGGAAAGAGAAGAGTCCGAAGAAGGAGACCAAGAAAAGAAAACGAAACAAAAGCATGCCACACATGAGAGCATTCAGGTCAATTGACAAACTGGAATAAACGACAAGTACTAAAAGAAAAGAGGGGAAAAAAAAGGAGAGCAAATTCCACAGCACCGCGAGGGTCATTTTCAAGTAGTCTGCATTTTCCAATCAACCAAACGAAAAAGAAGAGAGAGCGAAAGAGGAAAGCAAATCTGGAAGAAAGCAAGAAGTCTGGACTCACTCACCTGCCCAGTACACAGAATCACAGGATCTCTCATCAGTTCCTTGGAAAGAGGGCATTTGAACTCCTCCGGACAAGAGGGCGCCGCCGCCGACACACTCTCCTGCTGCTTGGGGGCCTTGATAGAGAGAGGAGATCTCTTCCTGCTCCTCAACATAAGCTCCTTGAGAGCACGGAGGGTATCATTCGCCTGATCGATGGTCTCGGTGCGGTAATCCTCATGGTCGACAATGCTGTTGACGAGCTTCTGGAGTTCCTTCTTCAATTCCGCTGCTCTAACCATGCTGGTGGGATCGGAATCGAAGACTCCCGTCTTGGCCATGGGAAAGGCGGTGGTGGAATCTGATGTTTACTTCAGCGGGTCGGTGGGCGGAAGAAGAGGAAAGGGAGAATGAGAAAGCAGAGGAGGAGTGTTTTGGAAGCTCTGGTACATACCATTAGTATTATTCAGACACTTGGAATCTTTATCGGCTTGCTTGCTTGCTTCAGCTAACTTCCTCCTTCCGTGGCGCGGCAGAGGCAGAGAGTTATTTTTGGGCGTTGGTTGGAAGGAAGTGGAAGGGGAAGAGCTGACAAAAAATGCAGAAAATGTTTTGGAATTTATGTAGTGGGGGAAATTCGGCTGAGAAGTAAATATATATGTCATTATTATTTATTTATTATTATTATGGAAAGGCGGGGGAGGACTGATGAGTGAGTTACTGAGTTTGAGTCTGAGTTGAGGGCAACTGTGTATTTGCGTCCGGAATCACTTCCCCTCCTTCCACGCGGTTTTAGTGGGCGAGAGATAGATGGCTCTGCAAGGACTAGGATCACGTGACTAAGAGGGGGGCCTTAGTCACATGACTAAGTCAATCTCAGCCCTTCCACCTCATTAAAATCCAATGGTTCATATTAATCCATTTTAATGAAGGGCAATGTGATAATTATATAATTAATTTATTTAAAAATTAAAAAAACAATACAATTCTCCCGTCCGCATCCGCGCGCCCCTGGGCATTTTCCGGCGACCTGCGCCTCCATTCCAAAAAGCTTCTGGTCGTGGGATTAATTTCCCCACCCAAAAACCTTCTGCCCAAACAAGCTTTTATCCTCCCCAACAGCTACGAGAGAGAGAGAGAGAGAGAGAGAGAGAGAGAGAGAGAGAGAGAGAGAGAGAGAGAGAGAGAGAGAGAGAGAGAGAGAGCTTTTGTACTGTTAGTATGCTTTGTATTATTTGTCGGTTTATTTTGTAATGTTTGTACGCTTTGTTATTTTGTAATGTTTGTCGGGTTTTTTTTGTAATGTTTGTACGTTTTGTTATTTTGTAATGTTTGTCGGGTTTTTTTGTAATGTTTGTAAACTTTGTTATTTTTGTGTATCGTGTTTATCATTTTTGTCAACCATGTTTGTAATGTTTTTTATGTCTAAAAAACACCCGGGTTGACTTTGGGAAGGAGCCCCTCTATATAGGGATGGAGCCTCCAAAGTCAACCCGGGTGTTTTTTCAGTTCGTATGGATTGTCAGTATAGTTTGTCATTTTTGTTCACCATGTTCGTACTGTTTGTATGTCTAAAAAACACCCGGGTTGACTTTGGGAAGGAGCCCCTCTATATAGGGATGGAGCCTCCAAAGTCAACCCGGGTGTTTTTTCAGTTCGTATGGATTGTCGGTATAGTTTGTCATTTTTGTCCACCATGTTCGTACTGTTTGTATGTCTAAAAAAACACCCGGGTTGACTTTGGGAAGGAGCCCCTCTATATAGGGATGGAGCCTCCAAAGTCAACCCGGGTGTTTTCTTTTTGTATGGTTTGTATTGTTTGTCGGTCTAGTTTGTATTGTTTGTACAGTTCATACGTTTGTAATGTTTGTATGTTTTGTCGCTCTAGTTTGTACTGTTCGTATGTTTGTATGGTTTGTACTGATTGTAAATCCAGTTTGTATACTTTGTAATTTTCCATAATACCCAAACTACCCCTGTCATTAATTAAATAGCTCTTCCTACTTTTTAACCATTAGATTGATGTGTCCAGATCTAAGGGCTGGGAGGGGCTTAGTCAAGTGACTAAGCACCCCCCCTTAGGCACCAGATCCGCTCTCGCTCAGCAACATGCAATAGCAAGCCTTCTCTCTCACCCTCTCCGTCATCGCTCTTTCTTTTGTTTTGGGCTCTTCATCGAATATCTTTATGTTTTGTTTATCTTTGGGATTTGATTTCCTACTGCCGCCATTTGTTCTTGGGTCACTGCTTACGTGTAAGAAAACCCAATTGCTACAATTAGGGGTTGACAATGAGCGGGTTGGGTGGGTTTTGATTTCAAATTGATCCACCCGCTAACTAGCGAGTTGGCATAAATGTAACCCGCAATCCATCCACATTTTTATGTGGGCTGGTTGGGTGGGTGGCGGATAGGTGCGGTTGGGTCGTGGGTTAACTAAGCAATTTTTCAACTAGCAATTAAGAAATTTGACTAATATTTATAATAAGTTCATAGCAAATTAGTAAGATTTTATCAATTTACACTTCTCACTTGTCTCGAGTGAATCCATTTAGTATTTGCATCAAGATTTTAGTACTCAATCAACCAATTGTGTAGAATAAACTTACGCATTTTGTGATTTGGATACAATTAATAATCTATAGTTTTCATCCCAATATTTAATGGATATTAACAATAATTTGCATCTCAATATTCAATTAAATTATACAACACAATAACCAATAATAGTAGTCAAAATTATTCTTTATTCTCTAACTTTAGAAGTATATGGTCAGACTGTAGTGCGGTTCGAAAATGTGAAAATAGGATGGGGTCATTCAGGTGACCCGCAATCTACCCACCACCCACCCAAATAAGTGTGGGTGAGAGATTTATCAATCTGCAATCCACCCACATCAATCACCCACTACTTGCGGGTCGGGTTATTTGCTGGTGGATCGATATCAATCCGCGAATTAGCCACCCACGTGCCCTCCCCTAGCAACAATTATAGGCTCAAAAGAAAGTCCATGAGGGAAAATAAAGCCCAACCCAACCGAGCCCCATCGATACATACAGTAGGAGACCTAGGGCAACTCGGCTCATGTATCACGACCAAAGCCTTTCCCAATGTGGTTCTCAGAACAAGCACTCATGCCATGACCGTTCTCAATGCAGTTCTCGGGGTCAACACCCATTACGCATCCCAACACCATCATTTATTGTCCATAGAGGTGTCCTAGCCTTTGTTGAAATATGAAATTATGTGTACCTACTTGTAATTAGTCAATTGCCTTGTATCATGCACATAAAAGAAATCCTAAGGAAAATAATGTTTGCTTTGGAGAGTTTTACCTCTCCCTGGGACTAGTCCCGATCTTCAGTGAAACCACGTTAAATTCTTGTATTCTTGTATCAGATTCTCGTGTTCTTTGATCTGTACAGCTTGTTCGCGGAAACTATTGGTGGCTACATTGTAGATTGTTGATGTTTTGCTGGTGTCGTGCTCGCAGATCCGTCAGAAGGATTCTTGGTTGTGAGTATTGATGGCAATGGGTCGAGTTGGGGCGGGTTATTGCCACACCCAAACCCATGGGTTTATCCACACAAAAAAACTGGGGAAAAACCAATTGGACAGCTCGTTACCTGGCTAATCTCGAATGTCGATGTGCCTATGGCCCTCGGTTTACGTAGGTTTTCAACTACTGTTGGAATGTGACAGCATATCGTCAGTAATCACTAATGGGCACTTTTCCCTTACCAAGCTATAAAACTCGGTTATAAACTAATGCTAATCCAACCTAAGTGAAGTATAACCTAAATTGGCGATGTAGTAAAGGGTTGACTCACGAGTTCGTATTCCATGGCGCCATGGATCTACTGCTACTTCAGAACTAATTTACTATCTAGCCTAATAATAATTGGGGTTTTCTAAACTAATGGAGCAACTTTCACGGATTTGGGCTTGAGTATAGGAGAGGTACTGGGGGCTAGCTTCCCCTTTACACTAGATAGAGTCGGGCTTATATACGAATGCGATGTTCTTTCCATTTATGATGTTAGATTCCTCTTATATTACTACTAGGGGAAATGGTCATGTCACCTAGAGCACTCCAAGCTAGTAGCTTCTCGGTTCAATGGTCATGCAACCGACAAATCGCTAGGGCGGTATGATTGGATTCCTACGAGGGTAAACCCAAGGACAAACACAACTTCAACTCAATGGTCATGCAGTTCAAATCGTGTCTCAATTGATATGTGTTCTTGGCTTGACCTAAGGGGATGGTCAGTGGTCACCTTAACCTAGGGCAAGAACTAGCACTACCCACTTCTACTTAAGCAAAATAATGGCATCATTCAATATCAATTGATCATAATTAGTGTAAAAGAATTCATACATTCATATTCAAGACCCTAATAATCTATCTAAAGGTTAGAGGTTCTTACCCCAAGCACAAAGGGGATTACCCCATGGAAGTAGGGATGGCAACAAAACCCGAACCCACGGGTACTGTCACATGTTGCAGATGACATGGCGCCAACAAGGTGACAACATGGCGGCTGCACATGTGGCGTGTATGGAAGACTGGTAGCATAGAGATGCTCCTAGGATTCTCCACCTTAAGAGAGCTTAATGGTGCACTTATGAGTCACATAATGGGTGACATTTATAGAGTGCATAATGGGGGGACTTAATGGGTGTATTGATGTAGAGGGACATTATGAGGGGCATTGATGCCTTGTATGAGGAGAGACCTATATAAGGAGCCATCTCCCTCACTTATAACTCATTCCATCATTTTTTAGAGTAATACACACTAGAGAGTTCTCCCACTTCTTTGTCTTTGCTCTTTGTTCTTTGCTTGCTTGTGAGTTTGAGAGAAGGCTGCCTAGCGCTCTAACGGAATTGAGAGCTAGGACCACACGATCGAGAGTAGGGTCGTGACAAGTGGTATCAGAGCCCGGTTCGGCTTTGTGCTAGCAAAGTAGAAGCAATAGCTAGAGGAAAAGGAAGAGCCTCACCAAAAATGTCGAGATCAGATAGTGGTGTTACCGAAGATGAGAAGCAGCGTGGAAGAGATCCCACCCCGGGCGCGAGGGAAAAAGGTACGTCGAGCGCTCTTGATCCTCTCAAGTCTCTAGAGAGGCGAGTCTCGAGAATGGAGGTGAAGCTTTCCGAAGATGTCACCGCCATCGAGGATTTGGGAGCTAACTTCGCCCAAGTCCAAAGCGAAGTTCATAGGATGAATGCTCGGTTGTCGAGCTTGGAGATCAACCATGATAGGATACGAGAAGAGCTTGTGGCTCTCATCACCAACACCCTCTCTGAGTCCATGAACAATGCCATTGAAGTTGTGAAAGAGCATGTCCAGGCTGAGCTGGTCGGCGTGAAGGAGGAGATTGCAGACCTCAAGAGTGAGGTCACTCTCGTGAAGAGAGCCATGGCTAGCGGACCAGCCCCGGTGCAATCAACCCCACATGCTGATGTTCCAAGAACAAAGAACTTCGGAGGTTCAAGGAACGCGAGGGAGTTAGAGAACTTCTTTTGGAGTCTTGAGAAGTACTTCAAGGCATCCGGCATCCGGCATCCAAAAGGATGAGGTAAAACTTCGTACCGCTCCACTATACTTGGTCGATGCTGCAATGGTGT